ATAAGAGTATTTACAAAGCCTACAAAGTCCAAAGCGGTAGTAAGCAAGTCTGTTCAAAGTAGACAGAACACTGACAAATATTTTCCCTTGGTAAGAAAGGGTAAGAAAGAAAAAATATTCTAAATTGTCCTTGAAGAGCTTTTAAACCTTGCTATCCTGACCAGTTGGGCCCTACACTGACAAGGTCTGCAGGGTCTATGCACAGAGTCCAAGTCAAAACACAATATTCATCTCATATTCCCCAAACTCAAGTCCTGCCCAAAGATTACAAAAAATAATTCAAACCATTACTCTGTAAACTTTTAAAGAGCCCAAATTCTACCTTGAGATATTAACAGCAACATAGGTTATCAAATTCCAGAGTTTTGACAGCACTCTTTCATATTCACTCTTTATGCCAATTTCCTATTTTTCAAGCAACATTCAGACAGATAACCAAGTCATCTCCAATTCCAGATACAATGAATGCTCTTTGATGGAATTACGGTGTGCTCAGTGATAACTGCACAACTGTGACAAGAAAGACTTCCTGCTTCAAACTGACTTCACGCATTCTGATTCTGCACTCCGGTGAATAAGTCGGTTCTGTTTCATTCCCTCCAGAACAACAAATGCTATGAAGTGAGGCTTAAGTATACCCTAGTATTTTTATTTCTGCATGGATACCAAATTTCTGAATTAAATATTAATCAAATGACAAGAATTTAAGGTCAGAGTTCCAATTAATTAAGATCACATCTCACGCCTCCATCAAACCCAGCTTTGAGAGGCAGTATTGCAGCTGCCTTATCCCCAGGCTGGATGCTCTTGGCTTTGCAAAAGAGGTGAATTTGCATGCTTGCCAAACAGCAAGGAACTTTTCCAGGATGTGCCAATGTACTGCTCTGCCTCTCACCCTGGCCGTGGCCACTGTGTGGCTCGACTGGACATGAAGGCAAAAGGCTGCATCTCTGCCAGATTTGACAGGCTTTTTGGGAAGGGTGCTCCACATTTACTTCCAATTTCTTCACAGTTCAGATCAACAGTTTCACTGAAGTAAGAGGATCAGGACTACATATCTGCAGCCAGCACACAAGCCTCTTCAGAAAGGAAAGGCAAATGGTCTGATGACATTACCTTTAAAAAAAAAATCACAGTAGTAGTATTTTTCCTTTATTATACCAGAATGAATATATTTTTACGTGTGTATATATATATATATATATATATATATATCAGGGCATAGTAACAACATTTCTTTTCAATAGGGCAACATTCTTCCTTCAAACCTATTTTATAATCGTTACAGTTACTACAGAGCCAGCTTTAAATAAAAAAAAATAAAAGGTCTTAAATCATAATAAGCCAGTTTTAGCTTATGCTCATCAAGGGGGTGGGAAAGGAAAACCTACACCTCACATTTGCCATCAGTCTAGCTCCATATTAACAGGCAGAAAAAGGAAAAGCATGAAATTCTGCTAATGAGCACCAAATTATGAGGTTGCTTAATTCTAAAAGAAGCCTCCAGAGCACCATATTTTTAGAAGTCTGCCATGACAGCAGTAACTAAGCATAATCTCCAGGGCTTTGTAGCATGCCATTAAACATAATCCAGAAAGTTACAGCATTAGAAGAGTATTTTCTGCTAGACATTTTAAGACTTAATAAATTCAGAATCATTTCAAGACATAAAAATTTTGAAAGTGCAAGATACAAACAGGTAGCAAAAAACCTGAAATGCTTCAAATAAAGTTTATTAGCATCTTCCAGGAGACCCATTCAGGGAAACTATGGTACAGAATCAGCAAATTAATTAGCACAGACATAATCAATATATTGCCATGTAAACAATGCAGATTCTCAGCCATTTGCATTTTGGATACTACAGCTCCCACTGGATAATATGAAGATGTAAGCTAGACACACTACACCAGCTCCACAGCTGGATGCTTCTTGATGTGTCTCGTCCTTAATTTCAAAGAAAACATATAGGTCTGTGAAACCCTCAAGCTGAAAATGAGGGAAGTCGTTCTAATTGCCTCTGTTGGGACAGCCGTTACTACTAAGAAAGAAAAACAAACCAGTAATGCAAGCCAGAAGGGAGCAGAATCGTCCAGAGGGGCTGAGACTGCAGACTGTCACAATGGCTGGGCCAGTGCAAGGAAGGATAAAAAAAATAAGTAAGTAGAAAGCTAAATTAGATACCCTGAAATACGAGGAGGAAAGAAAACTCAGCATGCATATGGAAAAACTACCAGAACTGCTTAGTCAGCAGGTTGGGATCCTGCATATATATTGTAGTAGGCATTAAAGAGACAACGAGACTTATTTTTCCTGGAAAGAGACAAATAGTATACATTCTGCAACCCAGTAAAACAAAATTATGAGCACACATATTACAGAAAAACATCTAGATAAGTAATTCCTAACATAAGTCACGTGTATTAGTTGCAAAAGTACCAAAGCAAATCCCTGGTGAACCTCAGCTCAGCACTGAGGCCTCCAAGCCAGCCAACTCTGAGCACTTGTATATCATGCAGCCAGGAACCCATCTCATATCTGCATGAAGGCACACGGACAACCCATCAGCACTCAGGACAAGGAGGCAGCTGCTCAGACCAAAAGAATCATACAACAGCTTCGGTTGGAAAGGACCCCGAGGATCATCACGTTCCAACAGCCCTGCCACAGACAGGGCCACCAACCTCCAGATCTGGTACAAGACCAGGTCACCCAAGGGCCCCATCCAACCTGGTGTCGAACTCCTGCAGGGACGGAGCATCCACAGCCTCTCTGTGCAGCCTGATCCAGCACCTCACTACTCTCTCTGTAAAGAACTTCCCTCTGACATCCAAGTAGGTGAGCAGCAGAAGTTTATTGGCTTCAGCCAACAGCCAGCCTCAAGCAGTTGCTGTCCAACAGCCTTCCATGCAGTAACCCAGACACAGTGTTTGAGGAAGAGACATACGTCCATCTAAAAGGGATAGAAGTAAACTCACCTGTATCTTAAAAAAATATCTGATGATGTTTAGTACTCATTTTTTTTCTGTGCGTATTCTGAACAAATAAGGTTAGCTGTTATTATAAGGTTAGCTTTTAGCTGTTATCAAATACAATCCAGGAGGCCTTGAGCCACATTACTCACCAATAGGATTATTGCATTCCTAACAACTGCACCTCCTAATATAGCACTCTCCAAGTCTTCTTTTTTTAAAAAAAATTAATATTGTAAATGAAGTAAATGCTTTCTCGTTTTATATTTTAGTGTTCCTAAGTACAAACAATCCAGTAAATGCAAAGTGACTACTTCAACAAGTTCATTCCCAAAGAACTTTTTTTTTTTTTTTTTTTTTTAAAGAAAGCTAACTGCCAGGGAGTCTGGATGTATTAATTTCTCAATTCTTCCTTTGGCTCAATACATGAGTAGTGGAAAATGAAAATCCCTCCTCTTACCAACCTCAGGGAACAAAACTTCACCTACTCTCTTCCATCTCAGCTAATGCTTGCCCAACACAATGTTGACAGGGAGAAATTAAGGGGTCAGAAACTTGTCCCCCATCTCTGCTGATCATGAAGTAAAGCCACAAAACAGTGTAAAAAAGTCCATCCCTTATCCTCCTTTGAAAAGAGTAGCCAAAATCTTTGCTGCAACATAAGGTGATGCCATCTCAGCCCCAGCAGGAGTGGCAGCAATAACAGCATGCTGTTAAACTTGGCCTCACAAAGCCTAGCAACATCACGAGAAACAAGGTAAATTGCAACAGGCAATAAACCAGTGAAATGAACTGTTCCGAGCTGACGAGTAAAATGAACCATCACAAAACCATCCTGAGAAAAGACTGTAAACTGTTTGCTTCCCCACGCTACTGAATTACAGTACTTGCAGTTTTGCCAACAGTTACATTGACAAAAGAAAGACCTCCACTGAAAAAAAAATGCAAACAGGCATGAATTCACCTTACCTGAACCAGACAATACCATCGTCAGGCAGCAGAATCACCCATAGGAGATGATCTTCCTGCTTATACTGCATAGATCATGCTCCTCATTAGTAGACCTACTAGCAATTTTGACTCCTTGAGCTATGGAGGACAAAAAAATGCAACAGAAGCCACATGAAGCAAAGATATTTGAGGTCCCTGCTTTTCAGCAAAACAGGAAAACCCAACACTTGGTTACCGAGCAGCACTAACTTCATGAATCAGCACAGAACTTGCCATGTGTGTCAGTACAAGGGGTTGCACCCCTTCTTCAAACACCTGCCCCATCAAAGCAAATTGAAAAGCAAAAAAGAACACAAAAACAGCTATGCCAAAAGAAGTAACTTCAACTCAATCAATGTCTTTAATTGCCGTATGTCTGCACAAGGGAATCACACTGAAGAGGTAACAAGAGGAAACTGGATTTAGAAACCCTTCAGGAAATCTTCCAAGAAGCTAGTAAAGTAGCAGATCGAAAGAACAGCAGTGTGGAAACTGAAGACATCTTGCTCTTTTGCAGAAGATCATGACAATTTGTTCTTCTCTCCTAATAAAAGTGCAATATTGGATTGCAAAAGTGCTCCCTAATTAAGCTATCAAGAGCAGATGTGAAGTCACAACAGTGATGGGTAGAAACCACAGCCACATTTACTAGGGATATCCATTTCACACCTCTCATGGCTTCTAGATCATTATCACATGATGGCCTACACTACGCATGGCACTTAAAAGCATATGGAGCCTAATTATTTAGATGAAGTCCTTAAATGACCTTGTTCATCATGAATAGCATGTTTTCAGCAGCAAGTGGCAAAAAAGTTTCTTTAAGCCCCAGGAAAACTGGATTCCAAAACTCTTTCAAGGTATTGTCAAGATAAAAAGAATGTCCCATCACATGTGTCAAATGTTTCCTACAGTAAACTCTGCACCACGCGTATGTGCATGTGCACGTACCCATGCGTAAGAGCAAGCGATATGAGCAGGAGTGACAATAGGGTATAAGAATTAAACAAGTCCATTCAGTCCTTAAAGCAGACTTACCTGAGTCTGTAATTCTTCTAATTTACGCTTCCTGGCATGGAGAGCTTTACTTGGGAAAGCCCAGAAGTAATTGGAAGTTCCGATTCTGTCAGTGTCCACCATGCCGTCATCAACTAAGCTTTGCAGAACCTCTTTGACCGACATGGAAGCTAATAGAAGCAAAAGTATGAGATTAGATCTGCACAGCACCTCCTTAGAACCACGGAGAACTATTAATATTGTAAGACATCATCTACAACCATCTGTCTGAATACTTTAGTACAGTGTTAGCTAGGAAGACGCTATGCTTGATGCGCCACTTCAAAAACAAATCCCTCTGAAATCAGTGGCTTCAACATAAAGGCTGCTGCTCCTTAGCACAGTCTGCTACAAGATGTTTGTAAACTGCCCACCACCATCATAAAAATGTACATGTGTATTACAGCACAGTGTCATAACAAACTCATGAAAAGTTGTCCTGCAGTCTTAACTATAACATCCATTAACCTACAATTGCTTGATTAGGAATGTAATTGCATTTCTCTTTGCAGCGCTTACCAAAGCATTAAATAGCAGCAGGGGCATGAAGGCCACCTCCCTACTGGCTCACAAGGGGTAGATTTGACATTTGGTTACATTCAGTTCCAATACAGAAAGTACTTGTAACATTAGATATGTGTAATAACTGTTTCCTCATTTTCTACCAAACATGGGTACAGTCCAGCATTTAAAAAAATACACCAGTTCAACAAGCAAAGGATTAGATACTATCATCCACAAGCATGGCAAATTTAAATACCTTCAAGATATGAGTTTTCAGTGTCTGACATCCAATTTCAAGCCTAAAGGAGATCTCTGACCTGAAACACCCCATCTTCTGGAAGCTATAGGCCGGACTCCAGTGTAGAGGTACTTCCATAGACTGAGTTTTTCTTTCCAGAAGAACCCAGACTCTACTGGTGTAGCTAAATGCCTCTACATTCCCAGGCAGGATGAACCTGGACTCCTCAAAGGTACAAATGGTGTTAGAAACTCTATCTATTAAAACATGAAATTCCTTTGCTTCCACTGTTTTGCATTTTTTTCCTACAAATTGCGACTAAATGTATGCAAGAGGTATTTTGACAAACCAATCGAGACAGCATCATAGTTCTGGAGATGCTGTTCAGCATCTCTGCAGGCTGCTGACATAACCTGAATCTTTCAACATGCCCATGTTTTTTTCCACAAACTTGTATATTCCTTACTGTCACAGTGCCACAATGACATGCTCATCAAGGACAGTGGCAACTGCACAAACACTGCATAAACACAAAGGAAAACAGAATGAAGAACACACAATGCAACTCAAAAGTGTGAAGATGAATCATCTTAGACCTAATCCAAAACCAGTGGATTTTTTTTTTTTCTTTCACTGAAAAGACTTCTTCTTTATCCAACCATTCTGTTCTTCAACAGAACAATGGAATTTTAAGGTATGTGTGACATTACAGACATATCTGTGTATCCCCTGTTCTCTGAGTACACACAATGATTTCACAGAATGAGAGCTCCTGGAAGGTAAGCCTCAGAACCTGTGAAAAATTCCATCCCAAGTTTTAGTGGTTAACTTGAAGTTTGTTGTGACATGTCAGCAATCTCTCATTTTAGCAGTGCCATCGTATTCGAGTGACAAACATGAGCAAATTGAAATAGGAATATTCTCTTGATGTTACTGTTTATGCTGTGTTCCTGCTATTGGCCACTGTATGCCATTCTAATTATTTTTCCACTTACTATTAAAATCACAAGCCTATAATTTTATAGGCAGGAAAATTTATACTGTTTGACTGGTTCCAAAAATCATTAATGACAAAAAATAAATAATTTGTGCAAACACTTACTAATCCCTTTGTCTTTTGAAGCAATCTTCTCTATATCCTTCAACTGGAATACATCTTTCTGCATAAAACATAAAAGACACTTCAGCTCCAAACGAAAGCTCTGCTCAGCCCATGCAGCTTTTACACTACATTAATGCCAACAAAAGCAATTAGGAAAACTCTGTATGTTTATATTTTGCTGGAGAAATATGCTGCATATCTCTCAATAGAATTAGAACACTCTGAGAAATGAGAAAAAGGACTATTATCTTAAGGATACCAAAGAGAAGAGCAGTGCTTCTGACTATAACATCACAGAATTTTGTCTAAAGTTAGAGTGAAAACCCTTTGGGCACACTGTGCCAAGGTTAAGCTGCCAGTGCTGGATGCACTGCTTTGCTCAAATACTCAAGGGCCACAATAAATATTGTAATAGGTGAGACACTGTGTTTCATGCACATCAACAGTATATCCGTAGCTCTGCTTTTGGATCTCCAGGTTTCCTCCCTCCATCTGCTCTTTTTAATGAAAATGCCGGGATTTCTCCCACCTTCGAAACTTTGTGTAACAGACTCGGCACACAAAGATGTGGCTCCAAGAAGGAGTACACTGAGAAGCTTCACACCTCCATCAAGGAGCCACCTGAGCTGACGCTGCATGAAACCAGTGCTGTAATTCATAAAGTGGTGACACAAGGCATGGAGGAGAAGCACAGCTGGAGCTGTGCAGTGCCTCTACAACAACGCCCTCATAGGACCAGTCTTCCCCCCAAGCATAAACTCAGGGCAACTCTCAGCAAGACACTTACTGTCTCAAAAAAGATCTCCATCATGCGAGCTCTCTTCTCCTCAAAGCTCAGTCCTTTTTTCTTGGACTAGAACAAGAGAAAAACAAACAAACATATTCTATCGCTTGCAGAATAACGCTTGCTGGGAATTCCTCCCCCATCAGCTCTAAGTTAGCTGTGCCCCCTTACAGAGCCTTACTGCCAAGCCCGGCTCCCACAGGGCTGGCTACACCCAGCCACAGCCGCTGCAGTGCAGCGAGCCCGAGTTCCCAGCCTGCACCTTCATCGCACCTAACCCAGCTCCAGTCCCAGTTTCCGGGCTTATCCAGCCTACTGCCTTGCCTTACTGGCTTAGAAGCACGTCCGGATCCCTACTCCCAGCAACAGTATTTAGAACCAGTCTTAGATTTCGTGTTCTAGATACACTGCTGGGAAAGGCTGTGAAGCACCTTCACTCATACAGCTTTCTAAAGCTCATGGCGCTGCGCGCGCCGGCTCAACAGGAAACCAGCAGCGCCGCGCGGAGCACCGCCGCATTCTCCGCTGTAAAGGCCGCCGGGCCCGGGTCCGCTCTTGCGAGCTCGTGCCCGGCCCTCGCTACCGGCTGCGTTAACGGAGCGCAGGGGAGAGCGCCCGACCCCACCGCCGCCCCGCTTACCATCGTGGCCTCCAGGGCGGGTTTGATTTCGGCGCCACAAGGAGGAGAAAGGCCGCCTGCGCGGCTCCGGCGCCACCTGGCGTCACCGGGGAGCGAGCGGCCGGCGGCGTGTTGGCAGGGAAAGGGGCCTGCGGACGCCGGGCTGTGTTGCCCGCTGCCCAACGGGGCTGCGCGTCTCAGCAGCCCCGGTTCGGACACTTTCATTATATTTGATCTGTTAGCTTGAGTTCTAATTATATTGTGTTATGGTGTGCTGTCTTGCATCCCGATACCATATTTAGTAAGCTAGTTTGTTTCTCCTCAGATTGTTGCTGCTGTTTTTCATTATTTCGGGGTCCCCTGTCCCCCTTGTCTGGAGGCGTGGATTTTGCGAAATTCCTCACGGAACCGGGCTGAACCAGCCCATAAAATTCTTGGTTGGAGAATGCAGGCAAAAGCTGCTTTTTAGCTTTTTAGAATGAATCTCTCTGTGCACAGAGAGCTTCGTTGGGAAAGTTTATCTCTTTCACAGGTGCTCACTGAAAACTTGACCTTAAAAGTCCAGGCAGACTGCCAACGTTCTGGGATGTCTGTAACCTTTGAATACTGCTATTTTGCTTCTGTAAAGAGAAAAAAAACAAAAAACACTGCTTTCTCTATTAAACATGTTTGCAGAGAGAGCTGCTGATTTTACAGACCTTGTGATTTTTAAGCAGGCTCACAGTCTCTCCTTTGAATCCTTTATCATTTTTTGAATGCTCATCTGATCACATTATTAATCTCCCTGAATGTACTGCTCATCATTTCACTCAGTATTTGTATTTATCATATTCTGAGAAAGCCTGTGCCAGAACCAGAGAATACTGAGTGGCAGGGAGTGTGGAGAGGCTTGGGAGAGTCTTCAGAGAGATGGACATCCTCCGTGTAATGGAACTTTACTCCTGAACACCTGAAAGACTCTGAGAGCTTTAACAGATATTTGAGACAGGGATGCTGTGGCTCAGGCAGGTCTGAGGAGGCACAAATGATTTGGGGCCTGGCTAATGCTTATCAGGCCTTGTTCAATACTGTCCCACAGATGAAGAGAGTTTCTGAAAATGAGGGAGAGAGTCTCCAATCTGAAAAGGAGAGTTTCCAGGAGAGACTCTGAGCTGAGAGGAAGAATCTCCGGCTGAGCGAGAGAGTCTCCCAGTCGAGAGAAAAGACCTCCAATGTGAGAGAGATACAAGAGATGCCCTCGAGAGAGACTCCCTGCAATACAGACTTCACAACCTTCGATTTCAACAAGACACCCTCTAGTCCAAACAAGATGCCCTCCGGTCCGAGAGGGACATCCTCAAGTCCAAATGGGAACTGAGTGAGATGCCTTCCAGCACGCAAAATTCGGTCTCCAAATGGAACTGAACAGAATTCAGTCTCATCAAGCCATGCTTGAATCTGAACTAAATATCCTCATAATCAAACAAGATAGACTCCCAGCCGAGCTGGAGGGTGAGAACATCAGAACTGACCAACCTGATAAACCACAGGAGGCACCAGAATCAATGTCAGTTGCCCCTGTAAGAGGACAGAAAATGAAACTAAACTCAGAACAGAAGAAAGAGGAGGAGGCTAAAGTAGAGGAGGTCACAGTAAGAGAAGAGGAGGAAAGAGTTCCAGAGGAGTGGCTCAGAGATCCAGAAGAAGTGCCCCTGAATCGAGGGGAAGGGCTCTCAACAAGACTGTGGTCACCAACTCCTACAAGGGCAACAAGAAGTCCTGAAAGAGTGAGAGGTGAGCAAGATATCATTACCATTGTTGATTTAAAATGAAAATGAATGAAATTCAAAGTCTGAGAAAAAACTTCTCATATCACCCAAATGAACCTATTGTCACCTGGTTACTTCAGTGTTGGGATAATGGGGCCAACAATGTGTGGCTATATAGTAGAGAAGCTTGCCAACTGGGTGGCATTGCTAGGGACTCAGTTGTTGCCAGAGGTATTAGTACATGCCAGAATGGGTCCTTCACCCTCTGGAAGCAGATGTTGTTAATTACAAGACAAATCAACCACCAAGGTGAACTTTTCCAAAAAGGTGATTGCTCCACTTGCTGCAGACAACCGAGGTAACAAATAGAGGGTCCCTGCCCCCAGCAAGGGGGGAGGAAAGGGATAATAGAGTGGACTGTGTGGATTAGATGGCCTGGCACATCAGAACCACAGAAATATAAGGCCCTGGTGGACACTGGTGCACAGTGCACTCCAATGCCCTCGAGTCACCAAGAGACAAAATAAGTTTGTATTCATGGGATGACTGGGGATTCCCAAAAGTTGACTATGTTGGAGGACAAAATAAACCTCACTGGTAAAGACTGGCAAAGCACCCTATTGCGACTGGCCCATGGGCTCTGTGTAAACTTGGTATTGATTACCTCAGAAGGGGATATTTCAAGGATCCCAAAGGGTATTGATGGCCTTTGGAATAGCTGCTGTAGACACAGAAGGTGTTAAGCAGCTGTCTGTGGCCGTCATCACACCCCAACAGATGTGATCAACAAAATCACTGCCATGTCTCTGCCCACTAATAAGAAAGAGACACAAACTTTTCTGGGTATAGTGGGTTTTTGGAGAATGCATGTTCCAAACTACAGCCTCATTGTAAGCCCCCTTTATCAGGTGACGCAGAAGAAGAATGATTCTGTGTGGGGCCCAGAGCAGCAGCAGGCTTTTGAGCAGATTAAACAAGAGATAGCCCGTGCCATGGCCTTGGGGCCAGTATGGATGGAACAGGGTGTAAAGAACATCCTCTACTGCTGCTGGAGAGAAAGGTCCCACTTGGAGTTTGTGGCAGAGAGCCTCAGGAGAGACCCGAGGCTGACCCCTGGGATTCTGGAGTCGAGCCTACAGGGGGTCTGAAGAGTGCTACACTCCAACTGAAAAGGAGATCTTAGCTGCATATGAAAGGGTTCGGGCTGCTTCTGAAGTAATCCGTACTGAAACACAGCTCCTTCTGGGACCTCGACTGCCAGTGCTGAACTGGATGTTCAAGGGAAAGGTTCCCTCCACCCATCATGCTACTGATGCCACTTGGAGTAAGTGGATTGCACTGATTATGCAATGAGCTCAGATGGGGAACCTCAGCCATCCAGGAATCCTAGAGGTGATCATGGACTGGCCTGAAGGTAAAAAGTTTGGAACATCACCAGCAGAAGAGACATCACGTGCTAAAGAGGCCCCACCATACAATGAACTACCAGAGAATGAAAAGAAATATGCCCTGTTCACAGATGGATCGTGTCGTATTGTGGGAAAGCATCGCAGATGGAAATCTGCTGTGTGGAGCCCCACACGACAAGTTGCAGAGGCCACTGAAGGGAAAGGAGAATCAAGCCAATTTGCAGAGGTAAAGGCTGTCCAACTGGCCTTAGATGTTACTGAGCGGGAGAGGTGGCCAATGCTCTATCTCTACACTGACTCATGGAGGGTAGCAAATGCCTTATGGGGATGGTTAAGCAGTGGGAGCAAAATAACTGGCAAAGAAGGGGTAAACCTATTTGGGCTGCTGAACTGTCTGAACAAAGAATATGGTTATAAAGGTGTGCCATGTAGATGCTCACATGCCCAAGAGTTGGGCTACTGAAGAGCAGCAAAATAACCATCATGTAGACTGAGCTGCCAAAATTAAGGTGGCTCAAATAGACTTGGATTGGCAAAACAAGGGTGAATTATTTCTAGCTTGGTGGGCCCATGAGACTTCGGGTCATCAAGGAAGAGTATTTAGTAAATTAGTTTGTTTCTCCTCAGATTGTCGCCACTGTTTTTAATTATTTCAGGGTCCCCTGTTTCCCTTTTCTGGAGGTGTGGATTTTGCGAGATCCCTCCGCCCTGCTGGTCATGGAACCAGGCTGAACCAGCCTGTGAACCTTTGACAGCAGTGCAGCTGAATGTGAAAGAGAACAAGAGAACAAGAAACCTAAGGAACAATAAAATGCTTTTGAATTTGAAACTGTATGTAAGTGGTTACAAATCTACAGAGGGAGTTGCTATTTCAGCTTTACTCTCCCTAGCACTGTTTCTCATTTGAGATTTTATATTCCTGTCTGCAGATATTCTAAAAGATCATGAGCACTCTGCGCAGAATTGAAGTACCAGAGAAAGGCCAAAGAGGAAGTTGGCCATACTGCACAGGTTTCCAGGTAAAGAGCAGCATTCTCTACTCTCGGCTTGCCTGCATGTTTGATTTTGCCCCATGGCAGAGAATCTTTGGTGTAATAATCCAGGGGACAGAAGACATTTCTGATCAGTCAGTGAGAACTCACATTAATTTATCAAAGAATCCAGGATTAGAGAGCTCACCAGTGACAAAGAAAATACGTTTACTATCTAAAAAGAGAGTTAGCATGAGTTCAAGTCTTGCTTTTTCAGAAAAAGAGTGGGAGTGAACTAAGTCCTATTTTGTGTTCTACAACAACTGACGTTTGGTTTTCTGAAGCAGACCCTGGGACGGTTGTAGCACTGCATAGCTGAAAGGCACTATGTGCTTCCATGATAAAAGTGGAAGAGATTACTTCTCATAATCTTACCATCATCTATGAAAATATTCATTTTGATTATTGAACTTCAAAAGAACATGGAGGACAAGTAAGCCCATCTCTCCACCTTCTTCCCAAGAAGGACCAGGTCCCTCTTTCCTTTTTACATAGAAGCTAACCACCCATGAAGTAATTGCAGGGTTCTTTTTGGCTTGTGACCTATGCTGTACTAATTTAGTTTCCATCTTGCTGCATTATGGAGATATTTTCAGGGACAGAGAGTACAAAACACATGAAAAATAACTTCTCAAAAATAACAGAGGAAACAAGCTTTATTGTTATTATTTGAAATTTTTGTGCGTGGTAAAGGTACATATTTGATTGATTTTCCTACATTTCCAAGACAGAGTACTTTTTATTTTTATCATCGGCTAAAGCATTAAGAATGCCGTGGCACACAGGAAGCTAAAACTATACACACACATACACACACACAAACACTTTGATGTGCATCTTTCATACTCGGTGTTAAAGAGATAAAGTTGTATTTAACCTCACAGGGATTTAAAAAGAAAGCAAAACAATGAAACAAAAACAAGTGAGAATAATATTTCATCATGAGTTTCAAGAGAGTGCAAGACTTACGTGTACACAAAACATATGAAACAGACTTAAAAAGGTGGAATGTACAAAAAAACTTTTAAAAATGAAGAGGAAAGATAGAGTCTTGGAACTGGAAAGCTGCAGTGTATCAACTGGTAGAAATTTCTAATGTGGGGATACTGCCATATGCTGTGCAGCTTGGGGAACATTCCCATGTCATAAAGCCAAAGCAAAAAGTGTCAAGGTTAAGGCCGTGTTGCTCACAGACATCAACCGAAGTGCTGTACATTCATCAGAAAGAACACAACCAGTGAGGAACCTTCCTACCCCATAGCACAAATACCTTTCTCATACTCTCCACCAACAGTCCAAAGCAATCACTGCTCACAGTTACTCAAGAAAATTGCCACTGTACATCATGATTTTATAACTAGCTGTCACCCACAGCTGGAAGTCATTTCTTCATAACAAACACAACATATTGGGCACTTACAGTCCTCATTATGGCAACACCAGATCCTTAACTGTAAAAAAAAACTGGTCTAAAATTGAAAACCCTCTAGCTTTTAAGAACCAGAAGAGCATTTACTAATAAATAACTCTCCATCTACATTAGACAAATGCTTTGCCTCAAGCCATTTTCTTTTTCTTACACAGCCACATTGCTGCTATTCTTACATTATACCAATGTAGGAACCCCCTATTTGTAGTGGATTTATGTGAACATATTCCTTTATTCTGGATACAAAATAATAAAAATACAGTTAGCTAGTTTGTCCTAAAATACTCCAAATTACATAAGAACCAATAACCTGTTGAGATTACTTTTGAGTTGAAAATTAGCTAAATGAAGCACATACTTTTGTCATTCGTGCTACACTTCTAGTCACAGCATTCCAGGGAAGTTGAAGCAACATTTCTGGTTACACCTGAAATCTGGCAGCAGAATGCCTATAAGCTTTTAATAAATGCTAACAACTCAGTAAATCAAGTAGTGCAGTTTTGATGTTCACCTAACTGAATGAGAAAAGAATCTGCCAGGGTTTTTTTAGAACAGAATTCCTGCTTTGGTTGTTCTTTGTAACATTGGTAACTCAAGCATTTTAGCTGAGCACACTGCCAAAGCAACATGTTTCTCAGTTTCCTGTGCCAGGAAGATAAGGTCAGCCTTTGGAAACAAAATACCCCATGCCACATATTGGCAGCATTTGCTATCTATCAGAAGGAAATCCAAGTTAGTGCCTTTTTTTCAGGTGCCTTAAGGGTTGTTCTGCTCTTCCTTAAGGGAAGCCTCAATACAGACTATTCAATCTTAAGAAAACATCCACATCACTCCTAATACATGGTAGCAAGGGAGTTGCATGCAGAATTCCATACAGACATGCAATGGGCTGACAGAGGTTACCTAAAATCCTGATGAACAATACTGAGCCGAATGAACAGAAATTCATCTGCAGAAAAATGGATTCATGGATTAGTATAATCTTAAGTGCACATTTTGATACATATAGATTAGGGTCTGATTTCTGCAATTCTCATACTACCTGGCAATGAAGGATTTGGCAATGTTTCTTCAATGGGAGGCATGTATGTTTAGTAAAATGTTACTACAAAAATTCAATTTTTGAACTAAATCTTGTTAGTATTGTCATAACTGATGGTGATGATACACTTCTCATTTACTTATCTCAAAGAACCTCTTCATTAAAGAATGCATTTAAAATGCTACATACGTTTGTTCATTGATAAATTAGCCATTGAAAGGCATTCCAGTGCTAGAAATTATCAGGTTGTTTATAAGGACACTTAGAATAAAATTAATTGATCGTCATAAAGTTTGATTGACAACTTCGTCAAAATTTGATAGGACATCTTACTATATCATATCTGAGGTAACTCACCTTCAGCATTTTAGGACAAACTCAGTTTAAGCAAAGGTTATTTTTCTTTTGGTAAGAACAAACTTCATTTTTAACATTCCAAAAATGTTACCACCAGTTTCTTAGCTGCAGTATACATAAGTTCAAATCTCAAGCCTTATACACAAAATATTTGTTCCAATGAAATAAGAAAAGGGATCTTTGTGTGAGTTTGTAAAGTGGAAATGAGAAGAAGAAACAGCAATTAAAAAGAGTAGACAAACACTACGTTTAAGAATTTGGAGGTCTGCATTTTTACAAGTCAAATGCGTCTTTACAAAAAAAAAAAAAAAAAAAAAAAAAAAAACATTTTTTTCTTAAATTTGTTGAAACAATCTTAACCTTTTTAGAAATAAATCTAATATTTGTAACAAGTAATTTAACAAAGGTTTCTTTCATTTTTGCAAATATGCTTAAAACACTCTCCCATTACTGACCCGATGCCCTTTCGTTTCAAGGTTTTAATAATTAGAAAAGAAACACACTACTTCCCAAACTGCTTTTGGCATTGGCAGCACACTCACCAGCTCCTCAAATGAGGCTTAGAGTGAGCACCACTCCATCTCTATTAGCCTACAGCAGTAACTCATTGTTTGACCACTGGATTTAGAATTAAGAATAAAGCCAATGCCACTTTAAAAAAGACAAACACTTAAAAATAACATTATAAACAGAACCAAGTCATAAGATTGTAAGTTTTCATTGATCATATATCAATATTCATTGATATATGAATGTATATATTAATAATTCAGTAAAGAACACAGTAAAGAGATCTGGCAGGAAGGAAGAGGGACATTTTTCAGAGTACTACCATTGTCATATGGCATACATATGTTCCAGTTTGCTGAAATAACCTACATTTACTTTTTAAAATATTTGTGTCAGTCAAACATACATACATACAAACAAATCAGAATAAATCTCACAGTCTTTATTTTATCCTCTAACAAAATTCCCTTTGATGAAGGACTTCAGGAATTGGTTCAAATTCATTCTTATTTGCAATGTATTTTTTTCTCACGTATAAAGAAATAGCTTTGGTAACCCTTGGCTTTCCTATACAACCTCTGTTTACCACAGTTCCATTGGTTGTACAATGTAGGTCCTCCATTGGGGTACCTCTCTGGCTTTCTGTCCTGTGTGTTGCTGCATTTTCATATTTGTTAATACAATGAGTTGCCTTAAGGAAATGTGGCAATGAACATATATGAAAGGGTGGCATGCACGAGGTTAATTGAGTTGACATTGCAATAACCCTGATCCCAATGAACTAGTTTGGTGTCAAAAAGTCTGCTGTTGTGCAGAAATTCAGCTCTCACTAATCTATCACTACTGTTCAGCTCTTCCAGAGCTTCAGAAACACAGTTTCTGAAATGTCCTTCCAGTACACAGAGCAAGACAAAAAGTGAACAACAGGTATACGAAAAAATCCTTCATTAATCCCACATGAGCAGGAAATTTGCATTGATTCTCATAGCACTAAATGTTGAGTTAAATCTGACAGTTTGAACTAGACCAATTTTGTGTGACTTCACCTTTTTTTTTTTTTTTTTTTTTTAACTAAAAGGACCTACTTGTTACAGATAGTAAGACTTAAGAATGTTTAAAGTGTAATACCTACCATGAAAACAAGATCTAAATGATTCCCAGGATCACCTTTGGGTGAAATAATGTGTAACAATGATACTTCTTCAAATTCGGAAGCTCTGAATGGGAGCTACCCTTCACAGTCTTCAAAACGCTTTGGGGATTTTTCCCCAAATTTTTCTCATTCTTGTCTAACTAGTTAATTGCAGTTCCGTAAGTTGCGGTTCTTATTTAATATCGCATTGTCTTCATGAATTCAGTTAAAGAGGATTCTGTGTATTAACCCTTAGAACAAAAAGTTCAGTGAGGAACGTAAGAGATGCAATTTCTATGTAAACAAGGTTAAGTTTGGAAATTAACGTAAGAAGTTCAAAGTAGACTCTTTCACTGTTAAAAATGAACTTGAAGTAGGAGATATCCTGCCTTGGATCTCTGGGACCAGTCTTTGCTTAAAGGTGGACAATTATCCAGCTCCAGAGCTCCCTGTTACTGTAAGTACCGATAGACCTTGAAGCAGTGATTTCCAGAGTCTGCAACTACAACGTGGCCATCTGAAGTAAGGGCCAGACCTTGGGGGCCGTAAAGTGGGTCAGCAGAGGTGTTAATGTAGGATAAAAATGATCCGCTTCCATCAAAAACCTTTAGATACAAGAAAGCACATAAGAAAAGTTATGAATAAAAAAATGATCTAGTGGACAAATGTCTACTTTCAGTTATACCATTGTTCTTATTTCTGAAACTGCTGACATATATTACAACCAACATGGACAGAATCTGATCTGTTATTCTCATAATAGGCAAATTTTTATACAAATATATTTTCTTACTAAAAAGATCTAATCAAGGCTACCAGGATTTTTGGCAAGAATTTGATATTCAATGAGGTATAAAAAAATAAGCAGCTAGAATAAATCAAAATCAATTGGGAACTTGACCAACACCTTGTTTTCTAACAAATTTTACTGTTGTGGCTAGAACGACTCTTTAAGTTTCCACCCAGAGAGAAAACCAGGAATTTGTTTGCATTGTTGTCAGTGCTTCCTGAGAACAACTGATGAGCAGCTCCCTTATTTTTATATTCAGTGAAACTAATGCATACGCTTAGTTATTCTTTTTTTTCTTTGCAAGAAGGGACCACGATTAACACTCAAAAGATAAAAAGCCACTCTCAATATAAAAGTAGAATATTTTTACAACATTCAAAAAAGATGCCAAAAATCTGCCTCATTTGCCTCAAGGGCTGTACGGTTTACTTGCTTTTTCGTATTTTCCATCATGTTGGCAATCTTCTGTTATGGTGATTATTATCAGTTACTGTCGTCTCAGTAAAGCTTTGCAAGTCTCTCAAGTCATGAAACAGTTTGTAGGAAGCTCCTTGGAGACAAGGATCTTGATCACAATAACCGTCAGACTTGCCAGCGCTCACACTGGAAAGGCCACAGTCTGACACCATCACTTTAAAAGTGGATAGACCCACAGTGAGGTATACAAAAGGCTACACATCACTTCTAGTGCTGCTGTTCTGCTTCTTGGGAAGCCTGAAAGCTTTACTGATCAACCAGTTATCAATCCATTGCTTTTCCTAATCAAGCACCTTTGAAATACACAAATCTCTACCTGTATTCTGCTGTTTCCCCAATCTGCTACAATAATATTTCCATTAGAGTCTACAGCAACACCAGTTGGTGCATTAAATTGTCCATTTCCTTCTCCATTTGATCCAAACTTCAGTATGAATTCTCCCTCCTGGTTAAATACCTGTAAGGGTTAAAACAAAAGCTTGACTATGGCATCACATCAAATATTACTAATCTATTACTACCAGTTCACCTATTAACAGGGAACTGGAGATCTACCAGCAACATTCCCCCACATCCAGCACTGTTTCCCCCTCACTATTCCCCTTCCTGCCTTTTCATGGACATTTATAGTTCTCATTTTTACCCTTCTTGTTTTAGAAATACTTAGCAGAATTATATATTTGCATAAGGCAAAAGTATTTACTAAGACAAAAATGCTTGTAGCAAGGGTCATTTAGATCTGCATTTTCAAATAGCTGGTAAG